TTGTTGAGAATGTAAAGAAGTTTTTTTTTCATACTGATGCATGATGGCACGCCCTCAAAGCCCTCTTCCCGCCCCTCCTCTCCCACTCTCGCTGTTACTGATCCACGAATCATGTAAAATCATTACTCACTCATTTAAAGAGATTTATTCGGAACCGGTTCCACAACTTTTTAAAAATCATTCACAAGTTTCCTCTATGCTGTCAGATAAAATTAACATGATTTGTGGCGCAAACGTGAAGGGAATTTGAGAGCAAGTGGAGTAGGGAATCTTGTGAATACGTTTAGCATGGAGAGATCCTCTTTTCATTCTAGCGTTATGCACAGTTTCATGATTTCAGTATTTACGAATGAAAAGGGAGGAATAAAAGACGACCTTATTGTCTCCAAGACTGAGTATGACTATATTTACATGGTCACGAACGCGGGATGCATTGACAAGGATCTTCCATATCTACAGGTAACAGCAACGACTATTACATAAGAATTAATACACCGTATTTTATGTTATTTTAGGAAAATGCTGCTAAATGGCGATCGAAAGGGAAAGATGTTGATGTAAAAGTTCTTGATGGGCGGGGTCTTATTGCTGTTCAAGGTGAGCATGACTTTTTAGGAGGTTACATTGTTCCAATGTAGGGAACTGTAATTTGTTTCAAATAACATGCTTGATTGTGCTCGAGTTGTTTATCGGATCTTATTTTTTGAGCAGCAAAAGTCGTAAATGTCAAATCATTTTTCAAAATTTTCTCTTTGTAGCAAGTTTAGGAAAGACTCGATCGCAATGCTGATCTTTCTTCAGTTTCCTTTACGCTTTATTTTGCTTTATTTATCATTCAGGACCTGAAATGATGAATGTACTACAAAAGGAGACTGATATCAACCTTCGGGAATTGACTTTTATGAGAACGACCATTGGCAAAGTATTTGGGATAAGCAACTGTCGTGTTACTCGTTGCGGTTATACTGGTGAAGATGGTGTAGAGGTAGAATTGGGCTGTAATGCTGACAGAGCTGACTAAACGAACGCACTGTTCACTTTTCAGATATCAGTTGATCCGAGTGAGGCTAGTACGCTTGCAGAGAGATTACTGCAGTCAAAGGTAATTCACTTCTTTTTTGCAATATGCTTCTTAGCTTTCAGAAAGTTACTTTGTTCCAGAATGGCAGCGTGAAACTGGCGGGGCTTGGCGCCCGAGACGCTCTACGTTTGGAAGCTGGTCTGTGTCTGTACGGAAATGATATCGATGAGAACACAACCCCGATTGAAGCCGGTCTAGCATTTGTCGTAGGTTTGTGGACTTATCTCTTCACATCTTGAGTTTCCACGTACTAATCAGGTTTTCAAATGTTTTCCATTCATGCTATGTTTCCCAAATTACGGACGCAGAAATTCACAATTTGATTCGGTCAAAGTACTCGATTTTCGCTTTGGCGAGCTTTGCAATGAATTCTTGTAATCCGTATCATTGACAGGAAAAATACCATTGAAACCGGTACTACTTTTAAGATGGCGGTCTTTCAGTGCGATCTGCAATCATTCGCATGCACGATACAGGTCCCCCAACAAGGCAACGACAAATTTTACGTAGTTCTCACATGGGCTATAAGTAAGATTATCAAAAGATACGAGGAGACGGTTTCCATCATGGATAGGCCTGGGAGAGGAACAAAGGCTAATCATTTTGTCGAAAGGGTGGAGTATCCCGTTACCGATTGACCGCAACCCACGACGCTCCATGGGAAGAATCCCCAAGGAGCTGTATAAATCAAAGTCGTTAATGGGGCAGATGGTCACTGAAGAACTGCATAATCCTTGTATATGCTGTGCCATCTCATCTCCGATACCAATAAGCAGCAGGAGATCTGAAAACGCTGGAGGTTTTTTAATGAGGAAGGATTGCTTGCAGACCAGTGGGTCGGCCCCAGTATGGGTTTGAAGGAACACCACGTTCAGTGAGGATCTCATTATTTTTTCGTCGATTTAGGTAGGAACATCAGCAAACCCGCACCTGAGATAAACATAGTGAAGGCTCGGCCCGACTCTCATCAGTCCCACAGAGTCTATTCATCCAAGAGTGGTGCTTGCTTAAGTTGCCCGGCTTTACTAGCACCGACGAATGGCCCTCATTTTCTCCATGTTCGCGCCCACCTCCCTTCTCAGTGTGGTCGCTGAGCGAAAGTAAGGTGTGTCAAGTTCTTCGTCACAGTTTGAGTCACTGGAAGGAACATTGAAGGAAGCCTGAGAAGAAATAGACGAGGAATTCCTGCGTGCAACGTGCGCGAAGCCCAAGAAGCGACTTGGAGCTTGCATTTGTCGCAGTGAAAGACATTTCGGAAATTTTCTATTCAGAAGCTCAAAATACATTGCTGTGAATAGACACTCGTGATTTCGAGACGCTCTCTACTTTATTTGCTTCGCCTTCTTTTCCCCTTCGGCTGTAACCATTTATCCATGAATATGTTGCTGAATTGGACACTTTTTAAGCGAAGCGTCGTCGCGAAACGCTAGGCTTCCCCGGTGCGGAAAAGATAGTTGAACAGCTGACAACAAAGAAGTGGCCAAAACAACGTGTTGGACTGGTTTCAGAAGGCGGTCGCGCTCCTCGAGGTGAATTTCTTACAGACTCGGCAACCTGTCATAATTTTTTCTGAAGAAACGTTTTTATTTAAGCTCATTTGCCACTGATTGATCCACTCGATAACGGTGCCATCGGTTTTATCACATCAGGCTGCCCATCTCCATGTTTGAGTAAGGATCTTGTTTCCATTTTCAACTGAGTATTGCTAAGTTTTCCAATTCAGACCAAAATATTGCCATGGGCTACGTTGACAAACCATACGCAAAGGCTGGAACCAAAATTATCGTCGACTTTGGCGCTAAACAAGCTAAAGTCACTGTTACAAAAATGCCGTTTGTAAAGACCAAGTACTACACGAAGGCGTCCTAGGCTTCCTGTCGTTACGTTTGCTCATTTCTGTCGTTGCATTTCTGCTCACATGACACACATCAGGACTTTGCTCACTTTCCTTGTGATAATCTGACAATGCGAGTTGTTATTTTGTAGAGGTTTATACGTTGCCAAAATAGATGACTAACACCGCCATTCATAAACTATTGCAATTTGTGGATTGCGACGTGATTTTCACCATAAAAATTTCGGCTTTTCACGCTCTGTGGATCTATCGTGTCTTAGGGATTTGTACCAGCGATAATGGGGGTTAGCTAAAGGTGTCGACTCCTTAAATGGATTTGGAAACATTGGAAAATGTTTCGATAATATGGCCTGCGATTCTCTTCGCATTTGTGATATCATTCTGTCGATCATTTCGTCGCTACCGTATGGCAGTACCTGAAAAAGGCAAATTAGCATCACACACCATTCAGGTATTGCGAAAAATTTCACGGGCATATGCCAGGAATTTGTTGGGTGATCTCGAGCTTTTGCGAGCGACAGCCCCTTCATAATAAGCAGCTGGAGCTAAAGCACTCAGCAAAAGTTGAGCTTGGATAAATCCTTATTTGCCGCTCAGAGAGTAGGAACCATGTCACCATCTGAATCATTATACTGTATATACATGCATATTTCAAGATTAGCTGAGGGTAATATCGTCCCATGTCATCCCTTCAATGTCTGTTCCCTACTCCGATTTTGCAGTATTTCATCAAATGAACTCGTACAATACAGAGCAAAAAAAAAGGGGGGGGGCGTGTTTAGGCCCAACGGTTTCTACTGCTTTTTTTCTTCAACGACGTCTCTGCCACCGTAGTTCCATATATTAGCCCTACTACCCAAACTGTGCTCGGGGTGGTTAGCACAGAATCTATATCCTACAATCCTCTGTCTAGGATACTCACAGGCCACTACGGTATTCATTTCCTTCGCTCAATGATTTGTACCGCCTCACTTCTTCACTACAATCTCTTGCCTCTC